GGGAGGATGTAAGCCATGAGCTAAGGCTGGTTGTCGTTGAAAATCTAGTGCTAGGGGTTCCCTCTGATCATCCTGCTGCAGTTGTTGTCGAAAAGTGCGTGTTCGATCAACACGTCCCCAATTTCAATTGGTCAGCTTCATCTAGCACCAGTGGAAGCGCGTCACTCCGCCGGCCATATTTATATGGCCTCAACTGGGAAACGCTCTGGGAAACTGATCGTTTTTACAAGTTCTCTTTTAAATTTGATTTATTTTCTGGCGCGTTTGCACTTTCGTCAACGAAGCTTCGGATAATCGTATTCCATGCGCACATTTCTGCGGACATTTGTCTGGAAATCGGAAAATACACATTACTATTGGTTTCCATATAGGCTAGTTTGTCGCTCATGGAGTAAAGTGGCTAAAGATCGATGGTAACGCACTTACAAGCAATCGGATCAATAAATTTGCCCCCCCTTCTAGCATTGCTTATCCCTTTGTTTGGAACATTTATGGGCCCCAACAGGGCACATTTGGTAACTGCAGAAAAACGGATAGGTTAATGCTCCATAAAACCTTTGTCTCCTTGGCAAACTAAATGGCACATTTCGTTTGGTCAGCCAACAACGGGTAAGGGCAATCAAAGATTACCAATTGTTTGTACTTGTGAGGTCCTCTCAAACACGCACGTACTTGACTTTCGGCCAAAATCCAGGACATGCTCGGGAGAGAATTGGGCTTGAAACAATGGCACTGGGAGGCAAACACTGCTCGAACCTTTTGTCTTGCTATTTTTTATATTCTCAGCTATTCTGCGACAATGGAGTGACTTAGTGTGCGTGTACTTTCGTCTGTTTACAGCGGCCAATGGTCTCACAACCATAAGTGACTACATCGTTTTCAAAGTTCAAATAAAAGTCAGGGTTGTGCTTCTTATGAAGCACTTCATAATATAATAGTTAGCGATTCTTTACTGATCGTGTCTTTTATCGGCTAAGTTTATCGCATCGATCTAAGCAAAAATCATGCGAAGTTTAAACCCGTTCCAAAATACACAAAAACTATAGAGCAGTTGAAACAGTTTTAATCAACATGGTTCATGATGCGCCATGCATTCGAATCTCGCTAAGAATCGAGACGGCAATTCCATGCGATCTGACCTACTGCAATACTAACTGGTATGGCTCAGCGATGAACATAACAAGCGTATGATCCTCCCAGACAGTTCGGCATCACCTGATCGACTCCGGTAGGATGAAAGCCTCATGTTGTCCTTACGAGATATACCGGAAGCTAACTCGAACCCTGGACCGTGCGTTCGGAAAACGACGCCACCTCCTACGTAACTAGTTCTCGGGACTAAGTTATCCAGCTATAGGCTCACCAAATAAATCTAGCAATCCACGCACCTACCACTACCATGGACCTATTTCAGGTAATCTGAACATATGGTAACCCTCGCAAAGAAATTTGTTCTCAACTCTTAATCAATCTGTTGTATGACACCAAACAGCTTCACTGTCGCATTCTACTCTTTTCACCCCACCAACCATCATCAGTCCTTCCTCTCGTCCATTCGTTCTCATCCAGGACATCGGTCAAATCATTAATTCAACTTCGCTACGCTTTTTGGAACCATTTGAGAGCTCCTTTCTTTTTCATTCAAACTTGTAAATTTTGGAACGACTTCCCACAATCTGAACAGAATGCGAAAAGAGAGGAAAAGCTCCCCTCTCACGCATCCTGAAAAGAAAAGCCGCTTACGATATCTTCATTAGCAACAAGCCCACTCACTTTGATTCAGAACCGTATTCATCCTGCACAATTTGAGAACAAATTAATGCACCAATAGTTCCACTCTAACGAGGCCATTTAACCCTTCTCAGTAGGAGGGAAGGCACAGTCGCTCTAACGTGACTCGGGATCAGTCAAAGCGTGTGGTGGGCGCCACTTGCCAGTGTCGCCGGAGTAAAGTGGAGCACCTTTACCGGTGGCCTGAGCCATGTCCGAAGTGACCGTCTCTTGAAAAATAGCAGATTCAGACAGCCTGAATCGGATTTGATCCCCGTCCACGTCCGTAATAGCAGTGCTATTGTATTTGCTAACGGCCAAAAACCATACTGCAGAGAGCCGATATTCAGAAAGTGAATTTGGAATTGGAAGGCGACCAATTTTTCGTATAAGGGTCAAACTTGTATGGCAGGTTAAAGGCAGATGGTATTACGACATGGTCCCCTGCTACAAATGGAGGTACATTTCTTAGGAGATGCAACACAAGAAGAAATCAAGGAGAACAGCCTGAAACCTGCAGGACGGGACTTCTTCCGTGGTTTCCGCGCTGCATGAGTTTCTACGATGCTAACATCATCAACGTGAAAACTCTGCTCTGCCTCTCTACTGAAAGGCCGGAGTCCGACGGCGAAGGGCCAGCAGAGCCAATCGGAGGGCGGGCAGAGAAGCGTAGGCATTCGAAGGGAAGGATAACCCTGCTTACAATTTGTTTTTTTGTGTCGCTAGAGCGCGCTCCTTTCGCAATACAGTGACCTATTGGCTAGTATGTACTTCGCGCAGTTCTCTTTTATGTGGGTATGTTACTGGCCCATGTCCTCTTATTTACTCAATTCTATCGTGCTCACCAGAGCGTGTTTCAGATGGCCGTTCCGTCGGTTTGACATACTCTTGAGCCTGCGTGCATTACTAATCCCAGAATTTTTGATGGCATCCATGTAAGGATGCAGGATCAGAATATACAGAATTAGAAACTTACATATGATCAACCTGGAAGTGCAACTGCGAAAAGGTGAAGTAATTGAATTTTCACCGACTACTGCCAATTTGCTTCTGAGTTACCATTCTACTTTCCATTTTCTCGTTAACATTCAGCCATCTAACTGACTTGGTGTTGCTGATTATGGTGTTTTTCGAGTTTTGTTTTCGCATTGTAAGAAGGCTCTCTACAACTCTTTTCTCTTCTCCAAAGATTTTAAGACATAAGAACTGATATATATAGTTAGCACTTTGCGTATATAAATTGCTAAATAATTAGCTTGTTATTTGTTGTTTTTGACTGTTCAAATTTTGTTTCTGTTTGTTCGTGTTGATAAATTCTCATATTTTAAGTTGCCATAGTACTTATTTGTGTAACTTAACATATTTGACGGCTTTATTAGCGGGCCTGCCTCATTAAAATGAATAAATACAGTAGCGTGTCGCAATGTGGTGAAATTATTTGAAAAACTTATTTTAATATCCGCACTCATCTAACTGCGTCAAATCCTAAATCCATCACTATCACATGAAGTGTTTAAGGAGATTCGAAGTCGGTCTCAAAGCTGCTGTTGGTGCACTCCGCCCGCGCTCTATGTCCACCCTTTTTCTTCTCAGCCGACTCGTGGCGTGGGTATAGTTTGCTGGCTGTGCACATTCGAACCATTCTCTCAACCAATGGAGATGTGTACTGTAGACATTCTGTACTGAGCGTTCTTCTCTATACACTGGCTCGCGTAAAGAGTCTTCTCAGGATCGTGAGCTATAGACAGTATCCTCCCGTTACTCCGACAGCGATGACTGTACGATACAGCTTGACTTCCTGGCAGCTTCTGGCAGTCCTATCGTCGTGACTTCCTTTGGAAGTGGGACGATAACAGTGTTCTCACAAGTATAGATTTTATTCGCAATGTATCGGAGCTAAAAACAATAATTGTTAGTCAATCGTTCCCCACATTTTTCGCGAAGCCTGGTCAATACACCGCCACCTGACCAATCGGCTTCCCAACGTCATATATAGCCCGTTGAACGGAATCTTGGGTTAAAAATACTATGAAATCCGCCTCTATTTGTAGGCTGTCCTTGCGGGAAAACTTCCCGCTGCATACTTGCTGTAGTATTCATCCCACCTCGTCTTTACTTCGGCTGGTTTCCTCAGAATGGTGCCCGCTAATGAGCCTTCTTTTTCACTCCTTCTGTCTGAAGTATCTCCTATGACGAACTTTAGCCAAATAAGAACCGCACTATTCTAACAATTTACTTCTCTAGCTCCAGAAAGCGCACCTGTGGATGACTACGGCCGGCCTTGTGCAGGCCAGTTGTCAGGACGAACGATTTTCGTTTTCTGTCAGCGCTTATATGAGGCCGCTTCTTCTGACTACCTAACTTAGACGCAAAGACGTTGTCGATGCATATCATGTTTAATTCTAATATATTACAAAAAACATTAATTTCATGAAAGGTATGAAAACATTGAATGTATCTCGTAGCGACCACTCATCCCCGGACAAAATTTCTCAAGAAAAATTCCAGCACTGCTCACAGCAGTTACTACGAAAGCCTAAGCACGATCAAAAGGGCAGGATCGAAGAACACAATCCCTTTGTTGTGTCTATTCGTCTTTCTTGCCTGCCATGTGACCACACGCCTACTTTTATCTGAATGTTTGCAACTCAGACAACGTTTCGAAATTCCTGCCCTTCAATTCATCTGTATTTCTTCCTGGAATCCCACATCAGATCGATAAAATGAACCCCTGCAAAACTGCAAACTAGAAGTGTTAACTGAAAGACGTTGCTCACCAGTTCGAAAAAGTCAGAGGCTTTTCCTCATTCATATCGACTTCTCTCAAGAGGGCATCGCCAAAGTTTTTCAGATGCTTTCACTTCGCCGTTATCACGTTCACTCCATAAAACACTCCCTTTGGCCTTACAAATTTATGTTCGCGGCAGGCTTTTAAAAAGTTATCTTTTCATCTGGGGAATCTCGCGTCTTTCCCCGCGATCTCAGCGGTTAGGCATCTCCACATCCTTCCCTTTATATCACTTCTCTGGACTAGTACTTTTCATTCGCTTCATGGATGTAAATCAGAGGCCTACGTCTCAACAGCGCCTTCTTGGCTGCTTGCCCGAGCTTATCGCCTTATTTGGGCGTCAAATTAGTCAGACTTGGCGTGAATACGACCCTACTCGTTAAGCGAGCGCCCTTTGTAAACATTTTACTTGAAGTGCGTAAAAAAAGTATAAACTAGGTACTTACTCAGCGTCAGCGAAAAACGCGTCGATAATCCGTTGACCAAGTGGATTTTGTTGAAGTTCGGCGATACTTTGGAAGTCGATCTCCGTCAGAAAATGCTCATTTGTCTCCTTATCGCGATGTGTGGCCAGCGACAAAAATCGCTTGTACAGGGTTACTATACCGCTTCGTGACACTGAAAAGTTAGGTTGAAAGGCGTACATCAGTTGGAAAATAAATATATTGCATCAAAATAACAGTTATAAAATTGAAAATATAGAATTTCTCCAAAATGTTATCGATGGAATTTCGTTCGAATTATATGGATTTGAAAAAATAGTTATGAAATCTAATAAACAAAATATAAATGAAAGTATGATGAAAAACATAAGAGAAAAGACCAGTAAACTTGTTCTTTTTCCTCTTCATCCCCTATACATTGTCTCGATTCACTCTGATGAGACCTTTCTACGGCCGATGTCAGACTTTGCGAAACGAGTGATTCGCTGGCCGCGACGCAACCGCGGACGCTAGCGAATCGCTCGATTCGCAAAGTCTGACATCGGCTTACCATATAGCCGAATCAGACCATTTATCGAGGAGTCCTCGACGTTAACTCACTCTACTGGTGTAAACCCAAAGATACTATGAATTAGCATAAAGTTGCACTATTCTTGCTCAAACACAAGTTGTACCTACACTCCTTACTGCTTCTACGTAGGCAATTCCTGTACCATTCCGGAGGTGAACTGGCACTCGCACTTGGCATGAGTTTTTCTAGTCTATCCTAGTAGCTCCTACCACATCCTCTTAACTGCATGACGTGCCATTTCAATCGAAAAGATTCCGTGGAAGGAAAAAGTCCACGGTATCTCTCCTTTGAAGCAACAACCCCAGATAAGGTCATGTTGAACGCTATTCTGTGTGTAAGCACGCAAGTATCACATTTGTGCCATTGCCGCGACTCGAAGGTGCGCGACAATGGCATTAGGCCCTACAAAGTGAGCTCATGACGGCTAATGTGAGCTAATGGACGAGATACCTCGCGCACACCCATGACACGCAACGTGGATTACGACGTAGCGCTAATTTGAATAAGCGCGGGCTAAAAGCTATGGAAGCAAGCTCAGACATCTCGTCCGGACACGCGTACCCTCATCTCCCGACATCCACATTTCATTATCGACCGCCGTCCACCCTATCGATTTGATATGGAGTTGCTGCTTCAAACGTAGAGACTACGATGGCTGGAGGGCGGTGCATTTTGATGACGTCATTGAAGGTCATTGGTGGACCAGACCCCGTAGCGCACTGGGAGTGTAGTTGAGACCGCCCCTGAACCCCTTCCACCAACGGCGTCCCCTCCAAGGACATCATCAAAACTGCAGCGCCCTGCAGCCATCGTGATCACTGCCTTTAACACTCCGGTCTCTTATAATTTACCAGAGGTGACGAAAAATCGTAGCTATTAGTATCACGTAAAAACATCGCATTAGATGCTTCAAGCAGCTATTGTTTATTTATTTATTTATTTACTTATTCGGGGAAGATTCGGTTAGCTAGGAATAGATTGCACGCCACCACCTAGGATCATCTATAATTCATGAACGGAGGCGAGCGCATACAGATGAGATAATTACTTATTCATACACCTATCCACATAGGTACATTTACAAGTCTATAGGATTCACTAGAAGACGCCTTTGGCAGAAAAATATTCATTTATTCCAATCCTCGCGCAGAATGGGCGTTACTCCAAGCCCGGTTGTATTTGAATCGCTACTACCAGCTGGTCCCGAGTTCTGCCACCCGCAGCACACCCTATCCCACAATATCAAGAGCCTCTGCTAAGGTAAGGAGGGCAGAATAGATTTAGTTCCCGATCGACACCGAGTAATCAACTATGAGATCAATAAGCCTCGCCAAGTTGTTTCCCGCATCTAGACGAGTCGTGAATGCAGACCGAGCAACATAGGGATCAAAACATAGTACCATAAGAATCAAAACAATCAATATTATCAAAATCCATCGTGAAATCGATTTTTTTCAAGAACTACGCAAGGTGCACACCTGTTATTACCAAGATGTGGTTGGGCACATGGCGAAGTAATCAATAGCCTCGAAAAACTCAATGTCAGGTGAGATTTTTGAAACTATTGATTATTTTATGCCACGCCCACTTTGGTAACTCTGAATTTACCAACGTTAAGGTAATGGAAAAGTGTAGGCCCTTAAAGCAACAGTCCCAGCAGGGTTTTTACCTTCGACACTAATGGTGTGGAACGATGCGCTAGCCCTAGTCAAGAACATAAGAAGTGTGACTGAACAAAAACTCACCTTGGAAAGCCGCTAGAAAGGGAGCTGAACGGCTTCGAAGTGGGCGTGGTTGGAAGTCGGCCGAGGGGATTGCAGCCGATTAGCAACCACGCCCACTTCGAAGCCGTTCAGCTCCCTTTCTAGCGGCTTTCCAAGTTTTTGTTCAGTCACACTTCTTATGTTCTTGACTAGGGCTAGCGCATCGTTCCACACCATTAGTGTCGAAGGTAAAAACCCTGCTGGGACTGTTGCTTTAAGACGCGTTGGCCCACAAAAGATATCTGCAGCACAAACTTCGCGGTAAAACACATCTGGAGAAAACAATTGATAAATCCTGAGCATTCTGCTGTGGATCAAGAACCGAGACTCACAAGGGGAGCCCTACATCTATTCAAGTGGAAAACAACCATCTTACATTCTCACGAACGAGATTGCAGGGGAGTCCTACTTCTATTCAACTGGAAAACAACCATCTTACATTCATGGGGTGGGCCCCATTATTAATTCATTCTATCCTCGTCATACAACTTGCTCGCCTCGTTTTCGTCTGCCTTTCAAATGTTCGTTATGTTTTTTCTTTTTCTCCCAAATGGACTTGGGCTATTTGGACCTGCCACCTGGCAATCACCCGCGGCCCTTTCTCGGGTGATTTTAATAAATGTATGAGCAATTCCATGATTCAACCCCGTTGCCTTGATGCTGTCGTTTCTCTTCTACAGTAGCGTGAGAAGCCGTTGACGGCATGTCCCATGCGAGGTTTCCCAATGGGACACTATCACCTCAAGGATCCTTTAATTTATTCCAGCACACCACAAAAACAGTAACGACCAGACGTAAATCCACCGTATTCTCGGCTTCACATCTTCCCTCAATCAATATCTCCAATCGATTCCCGTTTCGCAACAGCTGTTTGGAGCACAGCACGGCTTGATTCATTATTTCCTTTCTTTCTCGTTCAGAAGTGCAGAAGGCACTCTGGCGGAAGGCTTCGTTGCATCTTCAGGTGCAAGGTAAAGTTCTTGTTGGCAGTTTGGAAGTGCTGACAAGAGGAAGTCAATCAATACTCATGTTTTGGGCAGCGCAAAAGGCCGATCCAAATTTCAGAGGTAAATCCTTATAATTTCATAGCATGGGCTGCAGGTTCCTTAGGATTATAGGTACTTAATTCCAGCCTTGTTTAAAAAGCTTGAAAGCTCCATATTTGACCGCGGCAGAGACGCAGGGAACGGCGATAACTTTGTTTCTCCAGTGTTTCTCTTCTCTACTGTTCTCCTGATTTGTCATAACGACTATAACCTGCCCTGACATACCCCGTAAATTCTCACCAGAAGCAGCTTACGGGGAGGCTTCGATCATTCCAGATAAGAATTTACTCCTCTTCATGACTGAGCTGGCCTAGTGGCAAATATCGCCGCCTACACCGCGCTGTCCAAGAACCTTCGGGTTTGGATCCCGCTCTAGCCAAGCTTTTCGACCTTCCTGGTCGGAGTTGGTGCCAGACCAGGGAAGACAAAAAACCGATTTGCATATTGGCGAGCCAGAATTCATTGCATAGCGTGGACCTCATTAAGAAGCTGTATGATTCATATGGAAATTGTGCGCGCCAGGTATCCCAAAAGGTACTGATCAGAGCCAAATGCTCCATCCCTTCTCCTTCTTTACTCTTTTCTGAATCGCGCTCCTGAGCAACATCTATCAGTAAGTCTGTTTACTTTCCGCTC